TGGTCTTTGCTGCATTGACCACCTAACAAATTCTTGCTTATCCTTCAAAACTGAGTTGTGGTATTACTCCTTTCTGTAATTCTCTTAATTGCTCTTACCATTCTTCAATCAGAATGGATTTTTTTTTGTAAAAGAGTTTTTATATTTGTTTGTTTGAATAATGCCACTTGCAATAAAAAAGAAGAGAGTTTGGGAAAGAAAAAGGAGGGAAAAGAAAAGAAAGCCTGAGTATTGTTGGCATCACATAATCCGGTTTATTTTTTGCTCAGTTAACAATCCAAAGTGCATGTTCCTGGTCATCAAAGCTTTGCTCTGTGTGGTGATGTTGGTTCCAGAGGCTGAAGAATTTCATGAAGTTAAAGAGGAGATATTGTGGGAATAAAAGAGATAATTGGGGAGACCAAATGGGATAATTCCAAAGGTAGACCACTGTGATGACATAACCATGGAATGACAATCAAAGCTAGCTGCTGAAGGAGAGTAGAAATGAAAGTTAGTGGAAATGAGTAAATCGGAAACTCCGAACCTAGGGGCTTGAAAAATTACAGTACCTGGCACAGAGCTTCCTGTCAGAAATATTTGTTGAAGGGAAAACTTCTGAATGTTTAAATGCTACCTGTAAAAACACTCTATATTTAGCAATGTATAGTTTGTAAGATGTTTTATATGTTGTAGCAGTTATTAATATCCCAATGTATAAACTGAGATCCAGTGATTTCTTCTGAGTCACAGAGTTGGTTCAAGACGGAACCAGAATATGTGCACTGGTTTACAGCTCATTTCTGAACAATTTAATAAGAATTTTGAATTCTTCAATTGCCAATCACTTCACCAGGCGATTGGAAAGATATCTGAGGAAATTAAGAAATCTGATGTAGTCATCTTCTTCTTAAAAATTCTTCAATGACTCCTATTTCCAGAAAACAACATACGAAGTGCTAGAGAGATGTATTTAAATAAAATAGTTGGGTGGGGGGAGTCTGGTGCAGACTATCCATTCCCCAACAAAAACCCACCACAGAAACCTGTTGATCATGCAAACCTGAATTAGTAAACTAGCTGCAGTGAGGGAGAGCAAGACCTTGGTAGACTCTCGTTAGTGTCTCCAAAGGAGGACATTGGGGTAGAGTATTTACAGGGTTTGTGGGATCTCTGTTCATGTGGTGTAAATTGGTCTTTTGAAGTGGGGAATGGTTTGGGATTGGGTAGAGTTTGTAACACAGTAGTTTAGGGCGGGTGATCATAAATGTGATAGGTTTGGTGAGCAAACTGTTGTCCAATAAGCAAGCTCTTTGCCAAAGTGAGATAACTCTCCACGTTTGCAAACCAGACTGTTCCAGATTTACCTGGGAAAAAAATGGTTTCCAAGAATTTTTTGAAGCAAATGTTTATGTATTCAGTTACATTTTTATCATTATTATTTTACAAGAATTCCCCAAAATACTTAAGTCATGTTGGCCCAGGTGATCTCAGTTCTCAGCTCTAGTAGTTGAGTATGTTGACAGAGGTGGTCTCATTTCTCACGGGGAAGGTAGGAGATGATTAAAGAAGTGGACAGTAGCTGGCTAGAAAGCGGGGAGAAGCAGTGTTCCTTTCCCTATAGTGCTTCATGACCAAGGTATGATCTTATTAGTAGGTGGTAACAAGTCATAGGGAAGGATTATTTTAAAAATTTAAGTTCCTCGGTTCATACGTTTGCAGATGGAAGACATGAATTTCTGAGATGGATTATGCTATTGTTCACAAATAACCACTCTCTTCCCTGTGTCAGAGGAGTCCACTTTTTTTGCTCCTGGGGTGTTGGTTGATGTCATGTGACTTGCTTTAGCTCATATAAAATGAGCAGATAATGTCATATCCAAGCAGAAGCTTTGAGTGCAGCTGAATGGTTTGGTTGCAGTCTTGTTTCTACCCTCTATCACAGAGGCATGTCTCTGCTCTCCTGAAATGAAAAAGAGCCAAAGATGACCTGATCATGGGAATATGTGATATGACCAAGAAATAAATGTTTCCTGTAGCAAGCCACTGAGATTTGGCCACATAAGATTTTCAGATTCTTTATATTAGGAACTTGATTACAGTAATAATCATCAGATATGTCAAATTTTATATGTTACTTTTTCATTTATTAAAATTTTATCTTAGGCTCTTGAACTATAAACATGCTTTTATGATTGAAAGAAATTCATAATAATTTCTGTTGCTCTATGTAACCATTTTGAAATTCCTTGGAAACAAATTGAAAGTAAACAGTGATTTTAGGAATATTAGAAGAACCAGAAGAATAAAATAGCTATAGAAGAAATGACAGGCAGAAGTTCTTGGTTCAGTATTGCTGGTACATTTACTAACTTTGAGAAAGTTACCTTCTACAAATGTCTCCTGTAAAATGTAACTAATTATATAGTTTAACTTAGAATAATCTTTGGACTTACTTTGTAAATATACACAAGTGTAAGATGGCAGAAATAGTGGAAACATAGTCAAAATGACAAGTTTAGGTTGAAGTTATTACAAAAAAGATTATTCTAATATTACATCTAAAAATTATTTTTCAGTTACATTATTCAGAATTCTCTCAATCCTGGTATTTGCTCTAGTCCCTCATTTTTTCAGGAATTATTTGAATCTTGTAAATTTTAGTATCTTTATTATTTGTGTAGTTTAGCATTTTAATCTCAACTTGGCTAGGGGAGGCTAGTTATAGTTAATTTTATTTAGCCATATCATAATTTTAATCAAAGCTAGCCTAAGCAAACTGATGCTTTATTATTCAGTTAGGAATACAATTGATCCTAGTAGGAGTATGAGTGTAGTCCACTTCAGAGTGGTCCTGTTCATTCTCCTAAAAGTCAGAAACAGCAGCAAAGAGAGTGAGTAAAATTCCCACATAGCTAGAAGAATGAAACAACCTTTTCAGCAAAATTAGCGGAAAGCAAAACCCCACACGCTCTTAAATTTTATGGCATGGTGAAACATGCTCAAAACCAGTAGAACTGAAGTGTTAAAGCTACAGTTATGCTGAAGGGAAGAATGAGTTGCAGGGATCCTGGCGTTGAGAGACCCCAGGAATCAGCAGCAGGGGCTCATCCTCAAAGGAGAGGGCTCCACTCCAGGTGGGAGCACGGCGGGCAGTGCTGACACCAGGGCAGCACATGCTCTGGGGGGACTGAGAAGAGGAATCATACTACGTGCATGAAAGTGACACATTTAAGAAAACCTGACTAGTAAAAGGGGACAACAGCCCACCCAGAAGACAGGGCAGTATCCCTTGATGGCAAGGGAAAAAGTGACTGATGATCAGAGCCTCTAAACCAGGGTAATGTTTGAGAGTCTAAGGAAGACTGACTGCATTAGGTGACCCATCTTAAACTGTTCATCTCTGTAAGGAAACTTAGAGCCAAGAAACCTGGAAAACTGATTTTGCCCCTTGTACCCCAAAACAGTATCTGGTCTAAGAAAATCTGATTCAAATATAAATAATCGAAAAGGCAAAATTGCTGCATCTGGTAAAGATCTCACTGTATGAGGGGGAAAAGCAGTGAAACTACACTGTAGATGAAGAAACTTTACTAAGCAGAAGAAAACTGATGTATAACATTCAGACATGTGCTTAAAAAGTTGGTGAAGCTGAGAAAGCAGCACACGTGCAGAAATAGAGTAACTCAGAGTGAAGATGGACAGAGAATAGGAGATAATGCCTAGACAACCAGAGAATGTGAAACCAAAACTGGAAGGACTTTGCAAAGGTGTAGAAAGT